TGTAGGCAATTAAACACGAAAACAGTTCGCTTTATACCCCAAGAAGACTAGCTTTGTTTATTGAAAAGACTCATTTCATTTAAAGAGTAAAGAACTAGTTTTTCATTTTCATGCATAACATGGAAAGTTCATCGAATTTGCCAAAAGTTGTACCATTAACACATGTTCTCAAGTCCATTAGTTTACAACCTAAACAGCTAGCAATAGCCACTTACGTTAATATTAACAAGTTTCTAAATTCCAGGGCTTCAAATGCTTATTCATTAGCTCCCCAAGTGTTTTTTTCCCCAAAAGATTTTTCAAGAGTCTACACCTGAAAAATGTAAGAGGGTAGATGAACAACTAAAAACGAAGCTGAAAACATCCACATGGGATTTTATATAGGAGTGTACTGAGATGTGACGTTTTGACTCTCATTTTACGTGTGCCCCTCCATCCTGGAAAAGCTTCCATTCATAAAAGTAATAGCGTGGTCAGTTACATCATTATTTCACTAAAGAATTCTTTAAAAAGTTCCTTTAAGAGAACAACGGCACCTGATGGATGCAAGGCTGAGGATGCCATATGTCTCACTGGGCTCTGCTCCTGCCTCCTGTTTCTAAGGTAACCTGTGATCTGTATTCCAATCACACTTTGGAAAGGCTTGTTTTCTGCATCATGAAATTCTAGCTGGAAGCTCTGAAGATACCGAACATTAATTTTATCTTGTTTTTTGAAAAATTAGGAAAACAGAAAATAGAAAGAAGAAAATGTCCATAGATTTATCATGCACATGCAATAGCAACGACATATTTACTAACCTCCGGGGATTTACAAACCTGAGAGATGACAAGGCTAAAGCCTGAATACCAAATAAAATAGCGACGCAGAGCAAGTACCTTGAGCATAAAATTGCAAAGGCTCATCTAGTTTCATGGAGTAAAAACTTAGAGACTTGCTGCCAAGTTTTATAGCAGTTTTTAACCTGGAGTGATGTTGCCTCCCAGGGATCATTTAGCAATGTCTGGAGATGTTTTGGTTGTCACAATTGGCGGTGTGTGACAGTAGTAGTAGTTGCTGTGTATGGGTGACACTGGTAATGGATGGATAGAGGAGAGCAGCAATGCTAAACCTGTTATAGAGCAGCCCCGATACTGAACGGGTTGCCTGGCTGTGGGTCCTCACCCGCGCGCTTAAAAGGGACTTATGAATACTCCACTGCAGGCACACACAAAAGGTTCATAAAAGGTGTATTTACAAGGGAAAAGGAAATAAGGAAAATGTACAACTCAGGGAGAAAATAGGGAAATAAAGTCTTTAATGCGTCCTACCTGATCCGACGACCTGGAAACCCAAAGGCCCTCTCAGAGCTGGCCGGACGCTGCGAGCTGGCGGAGAGCCAAAATGGGGGACCCCTCCAAAGCCCACGTGTCTGGCTTTATACCAACCTGGCTGCTGAACCCCACCCTCAGGTCCCAGCCACCTTCCCTTGGGTGGGGATGGGATGTGGAGTTCCCAGTGTCTTTGGCTTTGGCCTGGGGTGGGGGTGGAGTCCACAAAGCCTGTATGGAATTAGCTTTAGGACAGCCTTTTCCCCCTAACGAACCTACTAAGATGCACAAGACAGACCCCCCAACAGACAATTATCTGCTCCAAGAGGGAGTTTGAGAAACCGGACCTAGTCTCTTAGAGTGCCGGGGTGAGCACACCGAACTGAACTGAACCAACATGTTGAATTATTGAACATTTATGTGCTAATAAGCAAGAAGTTTTGGAGGCAACCTTATTGATAATTTGCTTCCTTGTCCTTCTACCATATTTATTTCTTTGCCATTTCATTTACGAATCCCCCTTTTTTTTTTTTTCTGACAGGCTTTTAGTTGAAATGCAAACATTTCCAGCTTGCAAGCTTTGATGGAATTTGGTGACGCCACATACAAACTGCAAATGCTTGTCACTCGGGTAGTCAAGTACAAAGCTTCCAGCATGGCACAAAGGGATGACATTGCCACTAGGCTTAATTTAAATATAGTTCAGTTCTCATCAGTTTATTTTTTATCTGTTAATGGAAAATGGACTTACCTTTCCCCAGTTGAGAGCGAATGCTCTTGCCTTTGGTGTCTTTCCTCTAAATTAGGTTACATTTTGTCGCTCTGATCTTGAAGGACAATCCTATCCAAACCCAGGCCAGGATGGGGGGGTCCACCCTGGAGGAGAACCCGCAACTGCATGGTTTTCTGTGCTGGGATGCAGGTGCGCACCGAAGCCACCCAAACAGCCAGAGGGCGCCACAATGCCGCAAATAAAATCTCCATGGGCTTAGAGGGTTTTGCGGGAAGGTAAAATTGGCTTTTGTCTAATGAAAGAGCTTCCATTGTCAGCTCTGTCAGGTTATTATTTTGCATTTGCTTCTCGCCAAATAGGTAAGCAAGATGAGCAACGCCACCCCACCCCTCCAGCCTGGTGATTATTTTGGGTACGGGTGTTAAATAGAGCGGCGGGCCCCCAGGACACCCTGGCACCCCGCAGTTGGCCACAGCTCGGCCCCGCGCGCTTCTGAGCGGGTTGCCTGGGTGAACCCAGCCTCGGAGAAGCAGCTGTCTCCATCAAGGCGCAGACACCCAGAAAACCCGACGCCCCCTTCCTCGGGCTCCTGTCTCTCTCCTCTCTCTCCTGAGTCGCCAGAGCATCCTCGCGGGCCACGCCGCCTGCCCAGCAGCTGGACCTCAGCCGTCGCGCTCGCCCGCAGCCGCCTCCCCGGCTCGCCCAGTCCCGCGGGTGCGGGAACCGCCGGCCCGGGGTGCGCCCTCTGCGCCCCGGCGCAGTCCAGACGCGCCTGCCGCTGGGGGCCACCCTCCAAGCGGCGGACGTCTGTCCTGAAGGCCGAGGGGAGCCACGAGGTAGCCCCAACCTCACTGCCTGCCGGGCTAGCAGCATCTCAGGCGGACGTCGCGGGCGGACAGGCTTGGGGTGGCGAGCGGGGCGGCAGGTGGCAGGGGGCGTCTTTCTTCCCTTCGAGGCTACTCCTCAAGTCTGAGCGAGAGCCCGAACACTTGTAACCCACCCGTTCCAAATACGCGAGAGGGAGCGAGGTGCCCACGGACGGCCGCGGCGCGCGGGGAGGGGAGCTGGGGGGGCGCGGGGCCCCGCGGAGCGCAGGGGCTGGGGAGGGGCTGGGAGCGGCGCGGAGGCCCGAGGAGGAGGGGCGAGGGGCGCGGGCTGGAGGGGAGGGGCCGGGGGGCCGGCGGGCTGGAGGGGAGGGGGCGCCGCCCGGGCTGCAGCCGAGCCGCAGGGAGGCGGGCGGGGCGCGGCGGGCGGGGTCCGCGCCGGAGCGAGGCGGGGCGGGCGGACGCGCCGGGGGAGGGCGCTGGGCGGGGAGGGGAGCGGGGGGAGGGCGGGAGGGAGGCGCGAGGTGCAGAGGCGCAGCGCGGCGGCGGCAGTAGCGGCTTCGGCGTCGGCGGCGGCGGCTGCGCTCCCCTCGCTCCCGCGCCCGGGCCCGCCGTCGAGCCGGAGACCTCCGCGCGCCGCAGGCAGCGGCCGGACACGCCCGCGCCCGGGCCCTCGCGGCAGCGCGCTCACCCCGGCGGCACAGGCACCCCGGCGGGTAAGGAGCGCGCCCCTGGCCCCGCCGGGCCCGACCCCGGCGCCGCCCGCCGCGCCCCCCGCGCCCCGCCGCGCCCCGGGCCCTGCCTTTCTCCCGGCGCTGCAGCCGGGGCGCGGGGGCGCGGCCGGACTGGACGGTGCCGGGCGCGGCGTCCCTCCAGAGGGCTCCTGGGCACCTCGGGGAGCGGGTGTGATTTGGGGGGAGGCCCGAAGTGGGGGCTTCAGTCACCCGAAGGGGGAGGTGGGGGGCGGCGATCCTGGTCCCGGAGCTGGGGGGCGGGGGCGAGGGACGCTGCCTGTGCAGAAGGAAGTCGCCAGGCGGGAGCGCGCGGTCCCGGGACGGCTCTGGGGGGCCGGGGGCGCGCGGGGCCCCGGGACGGCTCTGGGGGGCCGGGGGCGCGCGGGTTCCGGGACGGCTCTGGGGGCCGGGGGAGCTCGGGGTCTCGTGACGGCTCTGGGGGGCCGGGGGCGCGCGGGTTCCGGGACGGCTCTGGGGGGCCGGGGGATCGCGGGTCCCGGGACGGCTCGGGGGGGCCGGGGAGCTCGGGGTCCCGGGACGGCTCTGGGGGGCCGGGGGAGCGCGTCTCTTGTCGCCGTGCGCGCTGCCGGGTGGAGCGCTCGGTGCTGGGGGCGCAGCGGCTGAAGATGGAGGATGGGGGTGGGTGGGGCCGCGTGAGGGGGAGAAAGAAACGGGGAATCTGGTCTGATCGGAGGAAGGAGGTGCCTCTTTGGCTTAGCGAATGGGGCGCCTGGATCCGCGGGACGCCTGGACCCCGGCGGGGGCGGCCGAGGACCGCGAGGGGGGCGCGCCCGCGAGCCCCGGAGCCCCGCGCCCAGCCCCGGGGGGCCGCCCTGCCCCCCGCGGGCCCGCTCTGGGCGCTCGATCTCCGCGCGTCTTGGGCTCCGAGGGCGCCCCGCGCGCGCCGCCGGGGCTGGGGCTAGGCGGGCGCGGGCTGGAGGCTGACAGCCCGGCGCGGGCGCCGACGGGGGCTGGGCAGGTCTTGCCTCGAGCGCTAACCGCGAAATGACACTCGGGCTCCTTCCGCTCCGCTCCCCACCTCCTGCCAGAAAATAAAAACTGCAGAACCCCTGGATCCGCCTGCGCACTCGGTGCGCGGCACAGACCGCATTCTTGTCATGAATATTCATCGAACGCCTGGCGGGGCTCCCCGACTGCTCCCCGGGAGAGGGAGACCTTTCCGCCTGGACACGAGCCCCGGGCCAGCCTGTGCCCGCGAGGTGTCCACGCTGCTGGAGGGAGCGCGGCCACATGGGTGCCTCTCCAGTGCGCAGAGCAGGGTCGACGCACCTCGGCCTCCCGCGAGGCCACCGGGCAGTGCGTGGCGGGTTAACATCCGACACCAGCTTGGAGGTGGCCGTCAGGCCCGCGGGGTCGCCCCCCGCCCCCCCCCCGCCCCGGGATCACAGTGGGGGGCTGACGTCCCCGGTACTGCGGGCAAAATGAATGAATCGGGACTGTAATTACCTATTCCTTTGTCTTGGCCTCGCGCATGCGCCGGAGAGCAGGGTGTGGAGGGCCGGGGCAACCCCTTCTGATCACCCTGATCTCCCCATCACGCACTCACCCACCCACCCCCTTCCAAATCAGACGAACAAAGGCGTTTGCCCTAAATGTTGTCTCAGGCGCGATGCGCCCTTGGACACAAGTGACAGTTCCCCACCCCCCACCCCCCAGCCTGTTCTTTTTCGAGACCATCTCTCATCTTTTGCTTTCTTGGGGATTTGGACGCACAAAAAATGAGATTAGCCTCTGATGAGGGCCAACTGGATAAATGTTTCTTGGGCGCACACGCCCCTGCGCTCCCCAGCGCTGCCCATTGTTCCTGTTCTGTAACATTGCACTGCAGTGATGGCGGCTCTTCATTTGCATCCATTAACCGTTTGTCTGACAGATCTTTGCTGCTGGCCACTTGATTAAGGGACACTGGTCCCCAGAACGACCGTGGGTAGGTATTGACTGCAGAGATGCGGCCTGGGAAATCCTAAGACATCTTGGCGTTTGTAGGAACAAGATGGCCTGCAGAGCCTACAGCGGAGAAAATGGTTACCTTGCCAGGATCCTAACCCTTTCTGTTTCCTCTTAACTCCTGTCTCATTGTTGCATTAGGAATCCCAAAGGCGAATCCCATGGAGATGGAAATCCACTGATGGGGGAGAAAGAAGCAGCCGGCGCTGCTGGGGGGTTGATGGGGTGAAGCCTGCAGATTAAGTTCCTAATGCTTCCTTTCTTTTTGCAACATCTCACAGAAGCCATGATATACGTACATCTTTGGCTGCTTTTCTTTCCAGTGATGTATAATCCAGGTGATGCTCTATGGATTCTTTTTGGGCTAGCTTGTTCTACCATCCAAAAGAAGACAGTGTCTATCTGAAATAGGAGCTAAATCTATTTTTGCAGTGGTTCGCGTTTATGCTTAAAAGGAGCTTATGTGTTTTCTATGCACTTTGGTAGGACAACACGTGGCAGGAAAATGGAAATCATCTCTTTTGTTCCTTTAAATAAAAACTTGATCTTGGTCAAGCTGAGTATATCGGCCTGTGCCATTGGGAAGGCAGCCGCCTGTTCTCTTCTCTATTCGGTGGTATTTCTTGGTGTATTGGGATTCAGAAACCTCTATCTCTTTTTTTTTTTCCTTTCAGGTTGTGTTTTTGATGGAGGGGTGAGTTGAAATTCAGACCAAATTCAGTAGCAGATATGGACCATTAATCCCCCAGTTTAGTGTGTCTTAGGTTTTTTTACTAAGAAAACAATTAAAGTGAACTTTAAAAAAAATTACCTTATTCCTAATGTTAGGCAGCTAATTTTTTGGCAAGCCCTGGCAGGTGGAGAGATGGAGCTAATTGAGCCTTTTACAAAGGCACACTGCCAGTGACCCAATAGACAATCTTGGTTGTGTTCTTAAGAGGTGCCCCTGGTTTCACTGTTTCCTGTTCCACAGGCTTCCCTGCCCCAGAGCACCCACATTTCACTGCCAGGGGGAGATCCTCAGGGTGTTGGCTCTTATCTTGGGAGGAGGAAGCTTTATAACTTCCTGGACTCACCAGAACAAGCCATGTTCTCCACCAAGATGTTTTTTGTTCTGCACCTTTAGTTGTTGTGTGTTTTTAAAAAAAAAGCATTGGGGAACTTCAAGTCATCCTATGGTCAAGATAGGTGGGGTTTGGTATCAGGGGAAACACTGTTAGGAGAGATTTGATCATTGTAAAATAGGTATGTGTGTTATCCCCTGTAGTTAGGTTAAAAAAAATTTGCAAAATGCAATTTGAAAATTTTTTAAAAGCAGTTAAATACACAAATGTGTACACACTTATACTAATATATATACATGTATTGTATATGTACACTTACTATAATATAAAATCTTTCAATGATATGAAACTGAATTAGTTGGTTTAGAATATTTTATAGCGCTTCGTAGTTGCCTTTGGAAAATAATTGATCTTTTGCTTTTCTAAGCATGTGTGTAAAAGGGAGAGCTTAGGCAGTCCAAGACGCTTATTTCCAATTTCTGTCAGTGTACTCTTAAATAAAAGGATTGCATCAAACATTTTAGATGAAAATGCTCATTTGCAAGCCTTTAAAAACTCACCTTAAGCACTCCTGACCTTTAAAAGCTGTCATAAACAATACTTACTAAATAAAGAATTTACAAAAGTTCTCTGTTATGTTTGTGATCGTTTGTAAAATTTTGGTTTGAAAAATATCCAAAATAGACCTGTCAATTGTTGCCACTTGTTAAAAGCAGTTGCCTTTGGTGTCTGATTCTGTTGAAAGAAATGCTTTGATTTGCTTAGGCCTTTATCTTAAATGTAGCTACATTTGTCAAAAGGTGAACAGTTTCTTAATGATTATCTTAGCTCATAAACTGGAAATCAAGTAATTGGAGGAAAGCAGTGTATACACAAGTTGAATGTTCTTGGGGAAATGGGTGTGAATTTGTTGTTTTATCGTGATTTTTCAACTGTCTCCTTTCCATTTATTCTATCTCAAGACTTTGGATAACTTTTGACATGAACTTTGCTCTTTGGCTTAATGATGGTGGAATTAAATTTGAGGTCATGAATGGTCTGAATTTTTTTAAAACAGAAAATACTCTTGATGTATTTTGGGGAGACCTTTCGTGGGGAGCTTTTTCCTCATGCCTGGTGGAAAGAAACTGGGTTGGGAGATCTCTGGGTATTGCTAAGCCACTTTGGATAAATCACTTCAAACCTCTCTGGATTTTACTTTTTCCAACTGCAAAGATGGGATAATAATTCCTAATTGGGGCCAGTAATAAGGACCCCAAATATGTTTAAGAAGTACAAAAATAGCAAAGTCTCTTAGGGTCCCCTCAACCTCTCACATTTTTGACACAGCTTGATGTGATTGACATCACTAATTAACTTCTCTATATTGAGTTGTGTTTCTGTTCCATGACCTGGGGCTTTTGGGTGTATTTAATCAGAAACAAAATACCTCAGTCTCAAAGATGCTGGCATTCCAGAATTCTGTCTACTGACTTCTTGTACGTACATTTTATTTGGGGGTGTGCCTCAGGGTAGCCAGCCTCCCCGAATTTCTCACAGCTGCTTATGTAACTCAAGAGATAGCATGAATGTCTCTTGGAGAAAATACAGGGGTAGTCTTTTTTTTTTTTTTTTTTAATTTCATTAGGGTTTATTTACTTTTTTTTTATTAAATAATAAATTTTATTTTTATATTCCCCCATACAACTGCACATGCCCCATTCTGACCCCAATCCCTCCCCTCCCGGCCCCCACCCCCCAAAAAGTGTCTCTGGTTCATAGTTTTTTGTTGATTTTGATTTTCACTTTCTTATAGTTATTCATTTTCCTGATCCCTTATTTAAGTTTTCTAGATTCCTACAGGGGTAGTCTTAAAACCACAGCAGTTCTCAACCTGCCAAAGGAAGGGTTTTGTTAATGCCGTTCCCTCCACAGCTATTAAGAAAGGCCTTTGGGTAAGTCACGTGAGAATAGTTGTCCAGTGAACCTTCGCCAGAATAAAAGATAGTCACATGGAATCACATCCTCACCAGGGCATAGTTGCAGTGTCCTTTTGGGGAAACACGGTCTGCGAAGCTGTAATGAAGCACCATTTTCTTTTTCCCTCTGGAAATCAGAAAAGGAATGAGATGCGAGGCAGAGAGATTCTCATAGTGTGTTTTCCTGTTTCTGCACTTAAGTATTTAGGTACCTAAGAAATTAGACTTCCCGAAGGCAGTAGCTATTTTTTGAACACAAACCAGGAAATCCGGGGTGTTTTTTTGTTTTTTGGGCTGGCCAAGGCCATCGGTGAGGAGAGGTTGCCATTGAGCAGGCTTTGAAGCCTAGGAATAAATTCCTGAAAGCTTTCGAGATTTAGAAATAAAAACCATCTGCAAACAGAACAGGGCACGGGGCATAAAGGAGCGTTTCAAGTTAATATAGGAACATGGCATGGGGGGAGCAAAGCCTTGTCTTCCCTGTAACACTCAAACATTTTATTAATTTGTATATTGAAAGTTTTTCTTCTAGTTATTTCAATGAGGGTGAAAGAATGGGCTTCATTGGTTTTTTTTTTTTAACTTCTCTTTAAAATATATATTACAGCCACTGTACGTTGTGTAGGGGGTGTGACTTTAGAAAGCATGAGCTGAAGAGCTAGGTGTGGTGGAGCTGGACTTTGGAATGAGGTTCCCTGGGTTAAGAAGCATGTCTCAGCCATTTACTAGCTGTGTGACTTTTGGCAACTGGCTTAGCTTCTCTGTGCTTAATCCTCACCTGTAACACAGGGATGACAGTATGGAGTTTTAAATGAAATGTGGTCTAACACTTAGGACAGGAGCCCGCACGATTTTCAGTGGATCTTTCAATACCCATTACCCTACCGTGGTGATGGGACTAGCTTTCTTCATCCTCTGTGTCTGCCATAGTTCGTGTGTTTGTTTCAAAGAGATCATTATTTTGAGACAGGCTGGCGAGGGTGCCTCGGAGGGCAGTGGTCGGTAGGACATAGAAGTCAATGATTTAGAAAAATCCTCCAGGGATTTGGGTATTGGGAGGACACTTGCACTAGTTGCAAAACTCGAAAGTGGATGGATTACTCCAACTCTAGCCTCCATCTCAAATTAGTATTAAAGTGGGGGAAAAAAAAGTGGAAGTCCTTGGAACTTCAGAGACTTTCAGAGGCTCCTGTTCTGAAATGTTGAGAATTGAACTCAACTGTATGACCTTGGGTATAGACAAAATTCATTCCAGGTGCCGAAATCCCTGGACTTCTTGTGTCCTCAGCGAAGATCCTTTCATTACCCTTGAAGGGAGTGTCTTGCTCATTAGTATAAAGCAACCCGAATATTTCAGATTCTAAGGATATGTATCCCCCTTCACTTTCCTACATGTCTTGTAAAGGTGGTGTTATCTTTTAAAACATTTCTCCCCGTGGAGACCTCCTTCGCTGTTAAAACAGGTAGGGAGTTCTTTGGCATTTCAGACATTTGGGATATCTGATTGATCATCTTGGAAGCAGTTTAAACCTTTCAGGCACTTAATTAAGGGATCTTTCCTCCTGGCTCATTCTTTTGGTCTGCTGGACACTGAAATTTACGGTTTGAATGAAAGTAAATAAATTACTGTTTTAATAGTTTCATTAAACAGCTTTTTGGGTCTTAGGGATTCAGGAGGGAAAATGTACTTAATCTGTGAGGTTTCATTGTAAGGAAAGAAGTTTTGGATATGGTGGATATATCTTTTGAAAAATTTCCTCTATCCATTTTTTTTTTTAAATCTGAAGATGTGAGCAGATGAAATTGGAAGCTTATTGACAATTCATTATATGTCATGTGCTCTAATTGAATTTCATCCCCTCAAATGGTGAGATGCATTTGCCTATGAATAAATGAAAAATAGAGGCTTCCATAATGCACCCAAGCGTGTAGAGCTAATAGATGGTAGGGTCATCTGA